GAGCGTATAAAAAGGCAATATTTTTAGTATTCTTTTCTATATTTTTAAGGAACATGGTGCATTGTTATAATAAATCTACCATATTGGTTTGATTTGTAGCAACAGGCAAGAGTCGGTTGGTGTCGGCGGTCGGCATTGGCATTCCTCGCTCGTTGCGCGACTCCATTACGCACATTAGGGTGTGTTAATGTCGTGATTTTGTAACATTATTTATTCATTATTGATTGAGTTTTATTATTACTCAATTTTATTGCGTTCTGTTTGTTTATCGTTTGCTCATACGATGTAATTTACGCCCATTTGTTATAAAGCGTCATGACAGTGTGTTTAGTACACACAATTGAACTAAATTTGCTAAGATAAAAAAAAATTAACACGACTTTTATAATTAATACATATACATCCCGAGTTTCGTTTTTCAAAACTATAAAACAATTGTTTTTTTTATTTTGTTTATATTGCAGAACCCCAATTTGAAAAACTTCATACGAGATTGTTCTGCAAACTCGTTTTAATAGAGTTGTTTTGTACGTATGTTGACTTTAGTATACTTACTATGCTTTATATTGCAAACAAGTTACTGTTCCTAGTTTTATATGTAAGACATAATTTATATAACTTCATGACATTAAACCAACTATCATCTAGTGAGAACGGAATGCAGAAATAAATTTGTTTTGGTTTGTAAAGCTGATGTGATGTATCACATCAGCTTTAAAAGCACAAGATGGCGTTGACTGATCTGTAGATCAGTCAACGCCATCTTGTGCTTTTCTTACTGTTTCAATAACTACTTCTTCTACTTCAACTTTATCTATACTCTACAAAGATACAGTTTAAAAATCGTTGTTCTACATCAAATAGTGATACAGTAGGTCAAGCTCGCATAATTTCTTGAAATATGATAACTTTCTCTAGAAGACAATCCTAAAATAACTGCGAGTGAATAGAGAAAGTAGTAACAAAATTCTATAGGCCGCTGGAATTGAGACAAAATCGATGCCACCATGGTGTCATTTCAAATTTATGTATTATATGTATTGGTACATTTACACAAAAAACGCCTATTATTATAATAATATTTTTTTATAAAAAGCATGGTCGACTATCTCATTATCACAGCAAGGTCTTTTGTTAAATTTGCATTTACAACAAAATTAGTATCAAATCTAATTAATATTGAAAAATAAAACACCTTAAATAAGATCCGAAGGCAACTTTAAATTGTGACTGAGAGTAAAAATGTTGCTTAATATTTCTGAGCAGGAGTGTACATATAATCAAGTTTCATTGATCAATGTGTTTTTAGGTGAAGTTGTCTGCGGGGAATGATCTTCACTGTGGCAATGCCTCTCGGATCATAACACCGGTATAACGGTCACATAAACTTCATTATTGACAATGATTTAACACGTTGTACATAACTGTACTGGTATTAACGATCATATATAGTAACAGTAATTCTTGTATCACTTATCGAATTCGTTTTGCTAAAATTCTTGTTTTAACGAGGTGGCAACACTTTTTACATTTGTTATTATTTTATTTTTATATAAATTTACTATCAAATAGCGTCGAAGTAGTAAGTAAACTTAATGAGGTCGTGAGCTTTGCAAGTTTATGTTAGTGTTAGTCAAGTGTTTAGTAGAGTACAAATAGAGTGACGAGTTCATGCTTTTATTGAATATCCTGGGCCGTTACAGAGTTATATAGTTGCAAAATTTAAACTTTTTATACTACTTTATAATAAGAAAGGTGTAGATTAGGCAAGAATTGTCTCATTTGTTGGTAAATTTAATATAGGCCTGGGAATCTCAAAACCTGGTACTATTTGATAGAATAGGATCCTTTGTGTAATTTTATTATCTGTAAAAGTATGTAAAAGTACAGTGAGATGCAATTTTAAAGAAAATGTAACGGTCGCATCAACATTTAAATAAATTTATTATAGTAATAAAAATTCACAACATATCAGTTTATTGCATGTGCTTCTTCAAGATGGACAAGTTTTTACTTCAATTAACCAGACTATAGATAAATCTGTGAATCGAAACTGATTGAGTTCCGCAAACATTTCTTAGAAGTTATGCAATTTGTTTGTTTCCAGTCCGGAGATCGCAGACGTAGCCTCAATAATCTTAGTTTGAGTAAATTTCTCCTTCTCAAAAACAATTTATATATAATATTTAATATCTGTCAATATCATATGCTTAGTTTTTTCCGCATTGTAACACTAACCAAGTTAATTGAAATAGTTAATATCAATGAATTTCAGTTACATAACACTAACTCGACCACATGAGGAATTTGAAAGTTCGTGCGAACTGCAAAGCGACGGAAGTATCGGCCACACGTGGTGCCGGCTGCTTACGCCACTTCCGGTCGCCGGACTTTGTTCCTCGTCCCCCGCCGCCCCTCGCTCTAATCTTGCTTAGATAACTGACTGCCATACGAGAAAGTAGCACCTGATTTGACATTTACCTATGTTACATATGTATTTAAAGTGTAATACTTAACCGTGTTCATACCAATTTTTCACGTTGTATTTGCTTTTAATATGACCTTTTCTTCAATATTTTATCAATAACAAAATCCTAATTAACATAAGATAGCATTTAATATATGTTTGTAATGAAATATCTAATGAAATGAAATATATATATATAATTTACCTTTGACCCACATGTTATTAAATGAACAGGAAAAACTCGTATCTTTAAATAGCTCAACATGCCACAGACGCGATAAATAAATAAATATAATGTCGTCTGGTATGGAAATACATGTAAAATGCACATAAACATACATAAAATAAAATAGAAAACATACAGACGAATTGAGAACCTTCTCCTTTTTGAAGTCGGTTTAAATTAAACAAAACACATTTTTGTCGGTTACCTAAACGCGGTAAATATTAATTAATTCCTCAAATTACTTGCCTTCGATATTTTACAAAAATTACTTCATTCCTCCAAAATTGAATTCACATAAAAGTACTTATGTAAGCAATATCTGGTAAGGCTAAGTTTCATTTACGTTTGGAAATCCATTTCCTTCGCGCGGCCATCATAGGTCTTAATTATGGACTCTTTTTATATTATTAAACCTAAGATTGTTTTAAACGGTGTTATTATTTATACAGAGTTACACATACGTTCCTGCAGATGACCGACAATATCGGATAGAATAGAATTTAAATACTCGTTTAGTTTATTCTTAGTACGAGTAGAAGGCAATTGTTTTAGCAACATTCCAAATACAATTACTTTGTGATCTGGGGACTTTGTATGTATATGTAATGAGGTTACTGCGTGAGAAAAATCGAAATCGCAAGTGAGTGAGTTAAGAGCACACAAGGTCAGAGGATACATGTATCTAGCACAGCGCAGGCGCAGGCGCAGGGAACCGGGTTCCGCCGCCGTGCGCTCTGCATGACAAACGGCTTATTGCTAGCAAATTCCTTCTGTATATTGACCTAAGTTTTATCTACACGCAATGAGTAACAACAACACTTCAATCTACCAAATCTACTAAAATTCAAATAATGACACATAATAGCCTTAAATTGACACAATATATTCAACAAATAAAATATATAAAAACAGTAACATCGCAGTTGTTCGAAGTTACTGTTACTTGCAATTCCTTAAACTTACTTATGTATTTGGTTGAATATTCACTAAAAGAGTACAATTCAGCCCCAGCTTTCACTGTGCCCGAAGCCTAACTTAGCGAAGTCTTAACTCACTTAGCAAGCGCGACGCGTCAACATGAAACACTTGCACGGCTCGTGTCAGTTCACCTCTGTCCATACGATATAAACAAAACCGGATGTTGCACTCAATATTTTGTAGAATACACGTAAAGCATCATGAATTCTATACTTAAATACTATCAAGTTACTTGTTAATATAAATCTAAGTATTTACTATAAATAAGACTAGTTTATAATTGCATAAAAGACATTTATCATAGGCGATGACAAGACAAGAACGTAGGTCGCGACGCACCGCACAGGGCGCGCCCGCCAAGGCAGCCCGCTGAATCTTTGTATACATAAACATCAAGTTATAAACAACTAAACATTTATAATGTTTAAAGGAACTAATCCTTATTCTTGCGAAGTCACATCACCCGTCTATGTCTGATAAACTATTGATTAGACACACGTCTAAGGTAATTTAAAACATAGATTTCTTTCTGGCGTGTTGTAACAAACAGCTTGGTGAGTTTCAAGTAATATGAAGTATTGTTTACTTATTTACAGTTATAGTTATGAAGTAGTTGAAGTGAAGTTTATTTTGCAACATGACCTTCAATCACATTTACCATCAAATCCATTTATCAAACTCCGCGGCCATCAAAATAACTGGTTATAAATTGTTTGCACAATTAACTAAATGCGCAGAGCTAACGCATGTTTGTTGCTCTCTGTGGGAAACCGGTAAACTTCAACATATTTGGGTCAGTTGGAACTAATGAAGACTGTATTGAATCTACATGAAGAACAAAATAGTGTAGTTATGAATATTAATTTGATCGAGCTTAAAGTTTTTAAGATGACAGTATCAAAGTTAGGGTTATTCGTTTAAATATAACTTTTGTTGCTGCGATAAATGTATTAATAAATTATAATGAATGCATCGTATTAATGGAAGCGATTGCTCAACACAGGATGCCAGCAATAGATATGTCAATTCAGATCAAGGCGCACCAGATTCTCTTACAAGACGTGGCCAAAGCAAAAACTCGACGCACCAAAATATACAGAGTTGACTTGCACGTAACCAAATAAGTGATTGAACACATATAATATTTGTAAGCAATTCCAAACTACAGAACTTTTTTTTTGTAATTTATATTGCTACCCTTTTAGCAGTAGAACAGACCTAACTAGTACAATATACATAAAATTATAACTGAAGGATAGGTATCCTGGGTATAACTTTTACCTACGTCCCGTTTGATGTCTGGATTTTTATTTATCTACACTTGTGTCATGATTTGTGTTTTCATAGTATAAATAACATGTTTGATTATGTTTCATGTGCAGCTGGGCCGCGTGCCGGTGGGAGTGATGCTTCCCCCACGCTACGCCACGCTGCCGCTGCCGGCGCCCTACGCCGGGCCTCCCGCGCACCCCACACACCGTCCTCCGCCCAACACACTCTACTACCCCTTGCACGAAGCTGTACGTATATCAAATTATATCTCTACAATAAAAACACAAGATTTTCTAAGAATACTAAGAGTGCGACTACTCTACAGGTCAATGACATACGATATAGTAGATATTTCTACGCACGGCAAAATGCTTAGCAGATTGTTGTAAATCTGTGAAGACCGCGGCTAGTTAAAATTTGGTACTTAGTTATATTACGTTGTGGATACTGATATTGTTTATGTCTGTGGTTCCAGCGTGCTCGGCGACGACGATCTGCGGTGGGCGGGCGTGAGCGGCGACGTGCGGCCCGCGAGCGCGACTCTCTCACCCGCTCGCTGGAACGCATCCATCGCAAGCGTCGCGCGGACCGCGACCGACCATCCGACGCCGACCTTAAACGCACCTACACCGGCCTTGACAGGTACGAAGTGTACCCCACGCACCTCTCACAGCCCTCACACAGACACCTCGACATGACAACCAGACACATCAAGTTGTAGAAAATCGACACAGACATAACTCAGTCACAAATTCACCTTCAACATCAGAGTAGAGAACACATTTCTTTCGTTCTTGTTGACAATAGTAATGTAGCTATTTCTGTTTTTTGGAAGTAATTTTGACCTTGACTACCATTGTTTATTGATTGTACGTCACCAAGAACTTTAAACATCGGCCACCCATTCACAGAGCATACGCGGAGCAGTTCATCGCGGTGTGCGACGAGAGCCGGCACGCGGCTGAGCGGCTCGACTCGCTCGCCAGCACCAACACTAGCGACACCGCGCACGAGCGCGACACACACCGCGACCCACATCGCGACCACTGAACACGACGCGACACACGCGTGCCTCGTGCCTCGTGCCCCGAGCCTCGTGCTACCGAACCCTACAATTTATTTTCTATGTTCCAACTTCTTTCAGTTAATAATCCGGGCTAACATAAATCTAAACTTTAAAAAAATCACATAATGGTTGAAAAATTTATAATTGCAATGGCAACATTGCAAGGAAACGTCAATAACCAGCATCGATTATTAATAATATTAGTGTTACTATTGGACTATTGTTCTACTAAATCTAAATTAGCATTAGTTTAAAACTAATATCGACGAGGTTCTAGTTTCTAGAGTAAGAAGAAAATTAAGAACTTACCTAAGATAATATACTTAAGCCTGTAAATTTAAAATTGTACGAATCTCTTGCTATTTCTTTAATTCTACAACTAAAACGTCATAAAATGTTAGTGTAAGAAGACATATTTACATAAACCAAACTTAATTTAATTACTTAGGAAGTGTGTAAATAATAAAATAACTGAGTTTAGTAAGGAAATATTAACATCACTCAATGACTTTCATTTACCATTTCAAATTGTTTTTTGAATTACTAACTACTAACAACTATGTTGCCATTACACAAAATTAGTTACAAAATAGTAACATTTTTTACACGGCTACTAACTTTACAATAACTGCTGCACGCATATACTAAATCTTATACTAACAAGACAATGTAAATTCGTGTCCTATCGTCAAATATCTGTGTTATATTTTATACTTAAGTCCTATTTATCTAGTTGTAAATACTTGAAGAATAAAAATATATTTTCTATGACTAAAATGTTTGAAATACACAATATTTATTACGAAAAATTGTAAATGTCAATTTAAAATAATATTAATTATTTAAAGGGTATTTCATATTCAAGAATTAAAATTTTAGGTATAGGAAATATATTCTTATGTTTCAAACTTTATAGAGAACTTATAGTAAGGTATTTTCTAGTATTTGTACATTTTGTATTCAAAGTCCTTTGTACCTAACCGGTGCCAAATTGTGAGTGCTAGCAATTCAATTGGTTTGTAAATATAATTGTAAGTTATAATGCAATCTAAATTTGCTCAATTATTCTCCTTTTAAAGTAGTTTCTTAAGATTAATGATGCACCTGGCAACACAGTCTTCATAGACAAATATGAATTAAAATTTAATTCAATCCTTCGTATAAGAAAATTCAACGCATGAAACATTTTATATACTCTTTGGCATGAAATGTAAAATTGGTCTAAAATGTTGTGTTGCCAGTTTTCTTTGTAAATAAACTTGTTACCATCATTGAAATACATTATTTTTTATGAAATAAATGTATAATAATATTATGTTATTCTCATATACAATTTATGCGGTAGGGTTCAATAACATTTATGTAAAGCATCTAAATTATATTCAATTGTATTTTAATATTAAGTAAACTTAGAAAGGTAAGAGGAGTACTAGGTTTTATTCAAAAAGCAATTTAAATAAAACTTAGTAAGATTTGTTTTGTACATAAAAATACTTGTAGTATCGTAGTGTGTCAGTGTGTGCGGTTTGTAAGACGAGTGTGTGTGCGTGTATTGTGAATAGAGTAGCTCATGTTTACATTGTATAATATGTGGCTTGTAAGAATTTAAATAAATTTTATATTTTTATCAAAATGTGTTTATTTGAAAATCCACTACATTTAAAAATAATAAAATTATCCGTATGCCTACGAAAACATCCTAACAATCATCGCTCAACACATTTCGTTTTTTATACGCCAATTTTTTTACAATAGCTGTCAAAAAACTATGAAAGTGAAGTAAGATACGACAAAGTGTTATTTAGTTGAATTGTTAGAACTCGTCGTCGCTGAGCTGATCAGCGCGGCGCAGCTCGCTGTCGGAGGAGCTGGAGCGTCCTCCCGCACCTCCCGCCACACCTCCCGCCCCCAGCCCCGCCCCCGGCCCCGCCACCTCCTCGTCTGCACTCACACATACATACATCAGTATACGGACACATACAGCTGACTCTAACACAATCGAGCTACAACTGACCGTCAATAAGATCTGCGAAGTCGTCGGCGGCGGCCAGCGTGCGCGTGGCGGGGCGGGGCCGCCAGCGACCGCCCTCGCGCGTCTCCCGACCCTCCCCCACACCGCCCCCTGCCCCTGCTCACACACAACAACTCGTGGTCATTTAGTCTACAACAGTATGTAAAGAGATATTGAAGGTACGTGAGAGAGTACCAAAGAGCTGCATGTCAGAGTCGGAGTGCGAGGGTGAGGGGGAGCGCGAGTCGTCCTCGTCGCGCACGTCGTCCAGCGAGTCGCGCGCGCCCATCGCGCCGAACGCGCGCCGCGCTGACCCCAGCCGAGTCCCTGATATAACGTTACCACTTAGCATACGTCTATTACTGTTAGCATGAGGAGACTGAAATAAACATTGGCAGGCAGAATTTATGACATATTCTGAAGTGTACACACACCGGCGGTGTTGATGCGCAGACGCGTGCGGGGCCGGGCGGCGGGCCGCGGCTGATGGATCGAGCTGTCCTTGCTCTCCGAGCTCGACTCCTCCTCGTCTATCAATATAATATATTTATAATTTTAATAATCTATCAAATTTGGCAAAAAATGTGACAGAGAAAGGACGTTTACCGGTGTCGTGCAACTTGCCGAGCACGTCCTCGGCCTCGTACTTGTGTATGAGCTGCAGGATGGCGGCCTGCTGCTCCTCCGCCGCCTGCAACGGCCGCACAGAGCGACACACAGGTTACACGGTGACGTCTCCCCCGCCCACCCCTACCCTCCTCGCAGCTCTCTCACCTCTGCCTGCGCGCGCTCCAGTAGGCTGAGCTGGTGCTTGAGCGCCTCCACGCAGCGATAGCGCACCACGTACTGCTCCCACAGCTCCGCGATCTCCCGCTCCAGCGCCGACAGCTCAGACTGGTACGCCGGCCTGGTGCAAAGAAATGTTAAACAACACTTCCTCCGTTTCGTGCATTTTTGGTACTCAGTTTATCAAATT